CGGAATGTTCAACGAACCGTACAGATGCACGTAGGCCCAGGGGGAGACACGAGACGCCTTGAGATGGTTAACCCTTAACTGACGAGATGGGCTATGATATAACACAATTGCAATGTACGTTAAACTTGAAATATTTTTGTATTATTTCTGTAAACAAAAATATAATATAGTGGACTGACACTTACTTTCATCAAAGAAATTATTCTTCATGCAAAGTGTGTCTACGATATAATATTTTCCTCTGTGACATTCTGTTAAAGAATTAAAACTATTTCTAAACTTTTAATTTCTTCGTACTCTGTACATTCGTATTCTATACTCTAAACAAGAATATATTCCTTGGGTTCACCCACTGTATAAAAATCTTAAATTCTAAAATCTTTTCCTAAATATTTTACCAATATCTTTAAAGGAGGCCCTTAGCTCTACTCCGTTTCCTCCCCTAGCGGAAGCCGAGTTTGCTCGTGGCTGTACATCCGTATATGAAAATGTGAGCAAAGAAAAAAAGTCGATTTTTTTCATGCAGTCACACCGGTGCTTGCTCCTTAAAAGAGAAGGGACAAACGGCAGCACGTGGTCACCCGTTCGAACACGACACCCGGCTTGTCGAAACAGCGGGATCTAACCCCCCCGACGGTCTGCCTCCCGGACAAATGGATTCAGGAAGATTCCGCTAACGAATCCGCTGATTTATCGTGCTTTGGCCTAGGCCCCCCGGTTTTCTCGGTATCGCCTCAGTTTCCACTGTACAAGGCAACCGGCCCAAGAATTATTGCGTTTCGGTCGAAGGGGACGGAAATACGAGCGCGGTTTGTTCTGTAACAAGAATCAGTGTATATGGTAAATAATTACAGTGGCAGCTGGGAATGGAGGAACGTCCGAGGATTGAGGTGGAAGTAATGGGCGATATGCTTGCTGTTACGAAAGAGAGTCGGAAGGCTTGATCTATTGGATTTTGGAGGGGTTGCAGCGACAGGGGTAGTTTTTTCGTCGGCAAATGTGGGCGACGTAATGATCTGTCGTGTAATTATAATTATAATTATGTGGGAGTTGATGTATATAGTGTGAGAGAAAAATGTGTGGAATGTATTTATGTATTTAACTGTATACAGTCTGACTATACATATACAGCCACCTTAGGCATTGACAGGAAAGTAATAAAACTATGTAAACAGCCAAACGATATAATATTTCCTGGTCTTTTTGACAGGGTCGCCAAAGATCGCAATTGACCTGTAGATTTGATACCACATGTATTTTTTCAGGAACGGCCACCGTACGTGCCATTATTATCATTCATTTCGCTTACTGTTGCTACGCAAATCTTTTGATTGCAAGTGTTTCTGACACCAATTTTCCATTATTAATAACTTAAACACGAAACCTCCGACAAAATTTTATGATTCTTGATTTTCGTTTTATTCCGACAAAATAGAATCATCCCATAAAGTTTCTGACACCGGTAGTCGAACACCCTGTACAGTTACATATATGTACATATAAATACATAAATTCAATTTTAATATTGTATTCGAGACCCCAGTATCAAATAAATATCCGAAACGTAAAGATTCATCTCCGACTCTAAAATACACACACACACACACACACACACACACACACACAATTGGCTCGTAGTAGGCGAACAATTTTACATTGTACAGTGTGATTTACAATTTAATAAAAGTTAAGTTACTATTCGCCACTTAATATAAATCACATTCAATATTAACGAATAATAAATTATGATTCGTATACAGTTACGCGACTGTGTAGCGCGGCTTGCCGAGTCCTGAACGACAATTAAAATCGCCTAACAGCCCACGCGAAATGTCTGAATTTCAATTTCCATCTCCGTTAAATTACACGCTTTGCCTGATTCACGGCGTTCCTAAGATCACGGGGTCACGTGTCGCGCAAACCAAGAAGCACGATTTTATTTTTATTTTTATTTTATTTTCTGCTTCCCTCCCTCACCTTTCATCTTTTCTATGCCCTCATCCACCCCCTCTTCTCACTGAACGCGTATATACGCACGCGTGAATACGATCTACGCATTGGATTTCACGTGAATCGCCATCCCCCTTCCCCTCCACGAATTACCGGTTGGATTTATCGTCCGAGAAAAAGACTCGCCGGGGTATTCTCGTAATCCTTTGCCCGTGGACCAAGACGCCGCAACGGCCCTTTTGATGCGTGGGCGTGGGCCACGCAAATCGAATCGCTCGCCGTCTCATCACGTTCCGTCGAAATCACAACCATTCCCGAGTAATCGAGGCTGATTATAATTTATGCTTTTGTGCCCAGGATCACGCGCTTCCGTCCTCTGATTAATGCTTTTTTTTCGGGCTCTCCAAGGGGGATATTGTTACACATACAGACCGGACGGTTAAACTGTGATCAAATTTATTTCTTCTGGGCGATAAAAAATTTTATTACTGTGAGTTTTCGTTTTTTTTTCTTGTTTTCGTTGTAGTATTCGTACGATGATATTTATTGTGACGATAAAACAGAAATGAAATTATAAATAGACTGATGTTTATAGTACAATGCAAAAGTGGAAATGGAAAATATTATTTTATAATAAAAAGATTTAACGAAAGTATCGACCCAGAACGAAACTTAGTTTGTACATATGTATACTGATTTTACGTATAAATCTTATGATATCATCGGAAAAAAATGTATTGTACATTGGGCAATTAATACCTACACTTGCAGATGAACAGCTACGTATATTGTAATTTTCAAGTTACATTGGTCAACTGTGGAACGAAACATTCTCATTTGCTTAATCTTTAGATTGGACGAGAAGCCTATTTTTAGGTTCCAGAAGGTTCCCTTATCGTTCGCAGTTTCAACACTACAATAAACATATAAAAGTTCTAATTCCAAAATATAAAAAGTCATATAAAATCTGCCCATCCTCTAAAATTTAACAACGATAAAACTAGTATATGACGTCGAAGTTACACTACGCAGTAACGGGGTTAATAAAAAAAACTTTCAGTAATTTTCCAGTCATTATCCCCATTAAAAAATTTCCATTTTATCCTATTTCATAAATTCCACAAATAACCCCACTTGCATTCATACAAATTCGTGAAAATACACATTCTACCATTTTCAACCAACCCCGAACGCTTGTCAGCGCCGTCTCAATCGATGAGAGTGGAGGTGCACGTGGCCGCCTCCATCGCGCCACCTACGAATTTACGAACATCCTGGACTACCACTATCTTTTCTTCCGCAGCATGTACCCGCGCGTATCCACGGTCGCAGACACAAATACGAACATTTCGCTGTCGACACGCCACGGGCATGTTTTCTCAGCTGGTGCCCTAACTCTCGATCTCGACGATCCTCATTCGCCTCCCCAACCCCCCACCTTTTCCGTCTTCTCCGCGCCGCCACGGCAGATCCTGGTGGATCCTTTCAAGACACGGTCGGCTACCCACAAAGGATCTGCCCTTTCATACGCACGTTATTATACTCTTTACAGAATATCGTTCCACCTTCTCCCTTTTGGGAAGCATACAGACAGACAGAGAGAAGAGAACCAAGGGAAAAAGAACGAAGACAAGAGAGAAAGGAGGCATCGTGTACGCGTGTGTCGGTGTTACACGACGTCGTACGTGTGCACGCCCACGCATTGTGGCCCGAAGCCTCCCAGGCAGGGTGGACGTTTTCGACGAAAGCCTCGAGATTTTCTCGTTTAATTTGTTGTTATAGCTGCTTGAGACGCCGAGATCCGGCCATTCGACCCGTAACCTCGATCCTCAAACATTCATTATGTTTTTTTGTAACACATCCCACCACATCGTTGTCCCGAGATTCCATTCGCGCTGCCATCGACGGAATTGCGGCTTTTCCGCAGCTACGTGTTTACACTGCACTCGCGGGCACAATCTGTATTTGCTCACCGTATCCAGCTAACCTAGGTCTCTATTAATCGTGGGAGAAGTCGGGGACGGGGGTGCCTTTTGTGCGTGGATGCGAAATTCGAACACAATTTTGGGAAACGACCGGGCGGAGATTAATTAACAATCTGACAATACCGTATTGTCGGGCTTTCTTTTTTATATAACGGTCTATTAACGCTTTGACCAGTGGAGGCTATTTGAATGGGCTGTTGGGCGTTTATGAAACGATAATTGTATTTCTGAATAAAATTAATTCTCTCGCCAGTGGACTCCAGGTGATGCATCCACGAACGAAGAAAATTTTATGGTGAAATGCAACTTACCGAGTAGATAATTTGCACTCACGAAGCTCAATTGAGCAGTTAATCGAGTCCTCTTCAACAATTACGTCACGGATTGCATCTGATGCGATTAGGGGATGGTATTATTGCGGTCCATTAGCGATTTTTTGGAAGAGGAGGGCGAGTCAATCTTCGTCGTTCGATCAGTCGTAAGGAATGCAACTCGGGTTCGACGTGGAAAAAGTTAGTGGAGCGTGGACTAGCCTAGACGGATCTCTTCTGTCTGATTTGGCACATTTTCCTCTCCTGTTGGCCGTCGTTGCTGTTGGCTTCACGGCGAGTATTCCTCTTGAATTCCTCTTCTAGACTAGTTGTTGTGTGTAGACTCTTGATAGAAATACACATCGAGGCAATTTATCTTGCGATTTCTATTAACTCCTTAACATACTTCGTCTAATTATCTTAAATATTAGAAAATTTCTCGAATTTGAAGCAAAAACTTGAAAGATCCTTACGAATTTTTCGATGTTATTAAATATACTATGTCAACGAAGTTATCGCAAAACTGACAGTTTATAATAATTCTACAGATGACGATGTCTGCGTCTAATCAGCTTTTTAGCAATTTCGCTTGTAAGATGACTAATTTCATCTGTTTCATTATCTCTAAGTCGGTAGGATGATTGTTCTAATCATTAGGTGGACAATTTGTGTATTAATCTTCTATAGTCAGTTTCAACTTCACTTGTGCGTTATTAAAAAAAGAATGTTGCCTGTTAAGGGTTTAATTAGATCGTTAGTAACTTCCAAGACGGTCTGTAAATGTGTTCAGGAAGACCCAGCGAGCGTGCCTGTCTGGAAAGACTGGTCCTAGACATTCTAATAAGAGTGGATTTCTCTCCTTCACGGCTGTTTTGAAGTCCTCTTCAGAGATGGAACCGTCACGATCTACATCGAGCTTTTTAAGCAGGAGATCTATAAGATCCTGTGAAAAATATTCTTTGGTTTTAGGATTCGATCTTAATAGTGTACAAATTAAAAATTTTTGTTCAATATTTGTAATGAATTTAATTTTTTTTTTTATAATATTTAATCGTCACCTTTACAGCTTCATCCGGATTTTCATCATTCTGCAACTGGATCAAACATCCACGCATCGTTGGGAATATCTGCTCCCTCTTCAATTTGTTAGTTTTCAAGTTGTCGTACACCTGTGTATTACAAAATTTTAATTAAAACGAACGAAACTTTACTCTCTAATCATTTAGAATCTTCGTATTTAAAATTTTTATAAGAATATTGATCTGTAAGTACAAAACTTTTGCAGCAGGTAACGTTTAAAAATTTTAATCAGAAACAGAATTGTCGTGTCGATCATTTTTCGAAAATAATAATTCAGATTAAACTGTGAATCACTTGGAGTATGTCAATTGCAAAGACTGAATTCGTTAATGGTACACAAATCATAAAAAAAGGAGATACTTTATAAGCGAACTGTATTTTCTCGTCCATATTGCCGCGAACTGTCACTGAAAGTCCCTCGATCCATTGATCAACATGTACCTATAACAATATTCCACAATAACTGTTTACCAATTAGCAATTTCTGCTTGTTCATTACATTACCTGTAAAGCATTCCTTTTATCGAACACGCTGAATATTCTGTCGATAAACAAATGACGTATATTTTCGGTGAAATCGAATCCCGCTTGAAATATATCACGAAACACCGTTCTAGTAATTGGACCCAACGTTTGAAGACATTTACGATGAATTATCGCCAGAGCTGTCGAGAAGAATGATTCAGTATAACCTACGTGGAACAAATAAAAAGAAGGATTAAAATGATACAGGTACAACCTTCAACTTCCCTAACATTGAAATGCGTTTGACGTGCCAATCTTTTGAAACGGTCCAAATTTTTCGTCCTGAAAACAATTTCTTGGAGCGTATCGTTTAAATTGTCCACCGGCTGTTCAAATTAAGTCGTCTCCGAAATGGTGTCAAATGTCTTTCATGTTTCACAGGGAGTTGTCGATTGTTTCGTTTTCAGATTTCATGAATATATTGATCATACTATATTTCGAATTTCGTCGAAATATATTTCGAAACGTTGGATAGTACACGAAGTAATCCTGAATTGAAAAGAAAAATAGAAAACAGTTCTTCTAATATAAATTCTTATACCAGAACTGTTTTTTTAATTTTGTAGTACAGAATATGGCTGCGAATAATGTAACGTTTTTCAGAATTACGTTGTATAATAAGGAACAAACAATTCAAATACGAAAATTCTTATTTCATTATTACAATTAATGCAAATATTGAAATCTTAATAAATACTAGGCAAATATGGAATACAAATTTTTAGTAAAATGTTTGCAGTTAGAGACGGACAGCGTCGGCCCATTAGCTCAGTTGGTTAGAGCGTCGATTTTCATTTTTGTTTATTTCCCATTTCTTAATTTTATTTTTTTTAATTAAGCTAGGTAGATCGTCGTGCTAATAACGCGAAGGTCGCGGGTTCGATCCCCCCATGGGCCAGCTTCTTTTTTATCAAGTTTTCTTTTGATATTCAATAATGCACTTCAAAACGCGATCGTTGGGTTCGCAGAAAGGATCGATTCGATCTTTCACCTTTGGAGAGTTTCTTTTCCCAGGGCAATCATTCGGAAGATTATCATAAAAGCGTGTGTAAATAACCCGCGGGCCCCTGATGAATCACGCACGAAAAACTCCCGCAAAATGGCCCCACCGACGTGGAATCGCAATAAAAAGGTGGTCGGTTCTCACGTGGCTGCCGTGATCACGGCTCGGCCAGAAAGACGGAAAACAAATTTCGGCGTGATAACCGATAAGTCGTGAACGCGCCCGATCACGAATCCGTTGCACGGAAGCCGGTTCGACCGGCATAAAAGACGCCAATAAAGTCCCGCCTAAGTATATCTAATGACATCATTTGGATGGCGCGCGCAATAAACGGGCACAAAAGCGGGGGGATTTCGTCGGGAATGTAAAAACGTTGAAACGGCTTAAGGAACGGACGAGACTGAGTAAGGTCCTTGGTAGCGAGATGGGGTCTGCAGCTGAACAATTTTAGAAGGAATTTCGTGATGGAACCGAACTCTTCAAGATAAGAAACCAGAGGAAAATGCTCCTTGATATGATACTTTCTTTACATTTTTAGTGAAACAACTTTTTATATAAAGTTTATTAACTCCTTGCCTTATAACATCGAGTCAGATTCGTTTTGATAATTTCAAAATCGGTACAGCAAATGATGAACATTATTCGTTTTCATTGAGACCAAGTAAAATACTACGTTTATAAAAAATATCTAGATGATCTGCCTATCCCGATAATAGTTGCTACACAGGTCTCAAATCCGCGACATCTAACCAGCGTGTATCCCCACGGCCCACCTACCGAAGATAGATGAACACCCATTAAAAACGCAATTATACTCCAGGAACAAGATTAAAATCCCCCTCGATCGAAGTCGACAGTACCTCATACCATGCCATTCACATTGCATTACTGACTATACCCGCGAAGCATTTCAATGATCTCAGCCAGCCCGACCCCTGTCACCGTTAAGCACTCAATCAAGCCCAACTGTCCGAGCGAAACAATACGCAAATGGAGCCTCGACGCAGGTGGGTGGGCGTCTCTCTGGCCATAATACGCATACGATCCAGCGATCCACCAGTGAACAGAGACACACACGTATGTACACTTGGTATACACAGATCACGGCAACGAGTCCTCTTCGTTCGATTCCTGTAATCACAAGCTCATTAGTCGTCGTGCTTGCTGATAAATTATCGGTGTTACGTTCTTCCTACTACCTCACGAAAGCGACTGTTTTCGCGCGCACGAACAAGCAAAGAGATCTACGAATTGCCACAGATCGTTTTTACGAACGGTGCCATAACTGCCAGCGTTCACCCAGAGTGGAAGAACGTTGGATGGAATTCCTCGTCTCTTCTCAGGCTTGAAAACCCGAACGACCGTAATCTTGGGCTATCTAACGTTGTAAATGTAGCGAGGTGATGATTTGCGACCTACCCGGAGTGAACGTGGCTGCAGGGAGGAAGGAAGAGCCCAGAACCCCTGGACCCTTAGATTCAATTTCGCGGGGCGTCAACGGCTGACGCGACGTCCGCCCACCTTTTTGCGGGACGTTGATGTACGACACGGTGCACCGGGCTCTATGAGACGCGTGAAACTCGGACGATTTGCGTGTGGATTGTTTCCGACCAGGCAAAACGATGGAAAGTAATATAATCTTTTGCTTTATTTGGCAGCCCGGGCAGTCTTGTTTGTAGAGAGTGAAAGACGTCCGGCGGATAGGGAAGGGAGGCTGGATAACTGTTCGGTCAGAAGGTGGTAGGCTGTTTCGCGAGGTGTAATTGAATCTGTCGAAATGGTGCGGTGTGTGTGTGTGGGTTCTATATACACAGGCTGATTTAAATTAATATTGAACAGTATAAGATCGTATAGCATTCGTTCAGGGCAGAGTTGCGCAGAATTTTATTCAAATAATGCATACATAGTGAAAAGCAGCAGTATCTAACAGCGTCATTCTCACCTTCCAACGGTTAATGAGATTAAGTCATTGATCGCTCTCTTACTTATTCAAGAAGTATATTTTTATTACAAAAATTGGAATTTCTGCGTTTAATCAATGCAAAAATTGCGAAGTATTTTTTTATTTCCCCGAAAATTGCGAAGTATTTTTTTTTTTATAGTCCCCTGACATCAAACAATAATTTAACATTCCACCAGTTCTACCAACTACCCATCGCATAAAAATCCAAGATTTATTACCTACTTATGTCTACCGAACGCGTTGCCCGAAGGTGCAAGAAACATCCATGCTGGTTTCACTTTTACCCCGAAACCCGTTTTCTCCTCCCCACGGATCGATCTGAAACACGTCCCCCCGGGTACGATCAATTACCGCCCCGTACCGTAATTACGTTGTTCCCATAAGCGTGCAACCGGGATAAGAAATTCGCGCCGCGATAGATAGCTTGTAAATACGCGTGTATGTAGATCCGCGCGGCGTGTAGACGAGTTGGAAGCGTTTGCGTGCCGGAGCTGACGCTTGCGTAACGACAGGGCTTACGTCCTTCCCCTCCTTCTGATCCTCGCGCCCTCTCGATAATCGTACCTCTCGGGTAAGGATCTCTAGATCTTCCCGCCGTTCCCGGGCGTGCAATCGACCGTCTGGATCGCGTGCATCGGGTTGCATAGGGTATACCTACGGATATTTACGCGCGTCCGCACGATCAAGCGTGTATGCTCCCCCGTTGAACACGTTATGAAATGTAAATTGCGAAACGTAAACCGTCCAATGGGGGAGGATTGGTTGAGTTTCTCACGGCTAGGTAGCATAAATTGGATCCTTGAGAGTCTAAAAAGTACGGGCATGTGCATACAAATTACAAAATAGATCGGAAACATTGAAAAACCTGAAAAAGATGTTAAACGTATACGGTACCACAACCCCTGCAAGAATTAATCCTGAGCAACGCCAGACACACGTAGCCAGTAACGTATAAACGAAAGCGCTATGAATTGTACTTCGTGTTTTTTACGGATCCAGACCACTGTGCGGCGCGCCGTCCCCGTGGCGTTTCCATCCCGGCGTCATTTACAAGCGAGCAAAGTGGTCCATCGTAAATCCGTGCCTCGTATCGGCCGACTGGGATCGTATTTATCTAACAAATAATTATTCCCGATTATCTCGCGGGTGATGCATGCCTCGGCAAACAGAGATCAAAGATACGGCGCGCTGGACCCGGCATCACCGGTGCCCTTCCCCCATCCCCTTCTTGTTTAACGCTTAAAACCGAATGGAGAGAGAGGGAGGCGATCCGGTCAACAATTTTCGCCTTTATTTACGACGTGGCGCGGTGTGGACCGACGCGTTCGAACCCTACGGCCACGTGGGTGTTGATGCAAGGGTTGAGAGGGGAGGTGGCGGGCCCCCATTACCATTGGACGCCTTAGGGGGGATGGACTACCCCTGGCGCGCAATCAAAATTTTTAGAGTTATTGCCGTGTGACTGCACGTGTTACCTAGCTCATCGGGGGCCCACGGGTAGTATATACGAGCGGACGGTTTCGGGATAAATGTGATTTCACCATCGGCTATGGGGCCCCTAGTTTCGGGGTCCGACGGTCTTTTTCGCTTCGGTGTGAACGGGCAGAAATTTATGTGACGTTAAGGTGTTCTTGTCTCGCTACGCTTGGAGCTCCGGTCGAGGTTACCCCGAAGAAGATTTTTGTCAGTTCTCTTGGGGTTGTTATCTTTGGGTATCGAAAGACAATTCTGATACTGGATTTCTTTTTTCTTCAAAGAACTCGCCTCAACTTATTATTGACCTTGAAAGATTCGTTCAATGCTTTGTTGTTCACCTTAGATCTTTTCATATCGTCAAGTTCAGTAAAAAAATAGAAAAATATAGAAAAATATTCGACTTACATGGAAATGTTGAGAACACTGTTGATGGATGATGACGTTATTCAAAACGGTCCCTAAAAGTGACAAAAATTTGTTCATTTATATACTTTTGATGAAGATTAACAATTTATTATGCTCAACAGAAGATTCTTCACAGAATTGCATTGGTTACTCGATTCAATTTTACTTTTGTTAGCAATGGTCATGGGTCACTTATGATTGCGTTGTCCATTGATCTTAAGGTTTAAGATGTTGAAAGAATAAATTGGGGGAATAAAATTTTAAGCATAACTTCATTTTTTAAGTGAAAAACAGAATTAACAGGTGGTTGGTTACTTATATTAGAAATGAGTAGTTCAGGTGCACAGGAAGGATTGGTCGACTTTTTTCTGGGAGAAGCTGTTATTTCTAGGTCAAGAAAAAATGAAGCTTAAACAAGGATTTCCGTAATGTAGGAGGAGATTGATTAATTGTCTCAGGAAGTAAGCCATGAAATGTTTCTTCAGGCGTAAAGAAAGAAAAAAAACGAACCTGTAGCGTGCGTTAAATTCATCAGTCGGAGTCTCCACTCTGCTTAATGACTCACACGTCCTCCCAGTAAACGAGAAATGATTGATGATCATCGAACTTTCATTGTCAACGTCTCGTTCGTGACAGCTGTTCCTGTTTTCACAATTGCTTAACATCCTCTGCCCCCGACGCGTGTAACTTCCATTAGAAATTACACTTTTTTGACAATTACTTTTTTCGTTAATGTGGTACATTTCTATTTTTGTATGTAGCCTACGCTTGCCTATAGATTTGTCTAATTCAAGAATTCAAAATGAATTATTAATGCTAGTGGTTACATTGACCATCAAGAGATTGATATTTACAATTTAAGAACAAGTGTAATATAAATTAATAATACAAATTTATGTGTCTGTAGGCTATCAAAAACATTCTACATCATATATAAACTGCGTATAATTATTTGTTAAATACACATTCGACATGATTATAATCACTGTTTTCTGACAACTAAACAGTGACAACTAACAGCATATCCCTGCAGGCATGAAGTAGCGGTAAACAGTTTCGTGAAATTTAACGAGGCATGCTGCAACGTCTCGGGACGCCTTATTAGACCGGATTTCGAGTCTTCGTGACGGCATGTGACTCTGCCACCCACGTTTTCAATCTTCGAAAAATCGGGGATCCGCAACCCCTCGGCTATTGGCTCTGATTCTCGTCGTTGCACAATGTCCCGGTATGAGGTCCAAGGTGTTCCCTCGACAATAGGAAACTGCGCCACGAAGAAGAAATCCTGATGGGACTGGGTTCGCACAAACCGTGATCCCATCGATTCACGGTTCACTTAGTTCGAGCCTTCGTTCGACATTTGTCGTACAACTTACTCTGAATGTTGTTACACAACAGGGGCCAGTTCTCGACACGCAAACCGTTCGGTTCATCTCGTCGTAAAACCGAGTTTCCGCAACCCTCCTGAGACAGTTCGTGGCTGGTCTTTGATCTTTGGTGTCATTTTATCCGCCATCTTCGAACGAATTCGGTCATTACCACAGACTTCTATTGTATAAAGTAGACTGCTAACTTCCTTATAGAAAGTGTCCTAAAAAAGTATGGACTAAATAGCTCATGTATCTCTATTATTTCGGTTACCGGAGGCCTCATTGTATGGTCGAAAGTGAAGAATAATATTTACATGTACAAAAGAAACCAAAATACGCTCCTCTCCACGATCGAGAAATCTATATACAGAAGTGAGAAAAAAAGGAAACCACGTGGCCCACGGTGCGCACACCGAAGGTACAGTTAAGGGTCCTCGGAATAATTTCCTCATTTTTCTCCTTGACTTAGGCAATTTATTCTTTCGATCCGCCAGTCGACCCTGTTCCGTGCGCGATGACAGTCATGCTGTCGCCGACGCCACCGCGATGGGGACAAGCTGCGTTTTCAACGCCCACCGCCGTTTTAAGCCGCCGTCGAGGAGTGCCGCGTGATAAAGCCGACGTGATTTTTCAGAGCCCGCGTACGCGTTGATAGGGGATGATAGGCCCGTGTGTGTGTGTGTGTGTGTGTGTGTGTGTCGCAGCTAGCGTGTACAGGGTGAGTCAATAAAAACTACTATCTAAAATAACTTGTTACCTATTGATTGACGTATCGGAAGGATACAATTTAATTTTTTTTCTATCTTATTTTTTGTTGAGATATCAACGTGGCATTGAGTTTTTTCAAGGTCAATGCATCTTTTTTTTAATATCACAATGTTATCGATGGAAGGGCGAATTCAGCGACCTATAGTCTGATTGTAGTAAAAAAGAATGCACTGACCTTGAAGAAAACTCTTGGTCAACTTGATATTTGAAAAAAAAAAAAGTTATATCTATCCCAGGCGTCCCTTAAAATGCTATATAATTAATTAACCATCTTCCGTTCCTTGTGTCAATTTGATATATTTTTCTCGTAGGAAATAATGTTACTCTTTTATTTTAATGAATTTGTAGAGTTTAACTATTTATCTCCTCTTTATGATAATTTTTTACCATTGTGTCAATTTGACACCGAGGGACAAATTAAGTTGGGAAAATAAGGAATGGAGGAACGTTAAAACGTTTTTTTCATTCAACCAATAGGTAATGAATTATTATAGAAGATAGTTCTTATGGACTCACCCTGTATGTATGTATTCTATGTATACGTGTGAACGAACGTGCCAACGGCCGTGATACCGGGCATCAACCACCCCATTTGTCCGCAATCCCCCTTTAAGCGATTTCGTAAGAAGGGTTGCAAACGTCTCTTGGTGATATAAATGCACCGGAAATTGCCAGTCGTTTGTATGCGCTCCTTCGACGGGACCCGTTGAACGAGGCCCGTGTTAATGGCTGTGGTTCGTTGTCTACCTTCACGAAAATGTCGTGTGCAAGGTGTTGAAGAGCTGACGTTGATGAATTGTTACGTGGCGCTGAGGATGTTATACGGGGAGGTATTCAAATTCTTCTTATCATTAATACATTCTTTTTCAATTTCAGCAATGCTATCTTTTTTTCTTACGACGAAGTCAAATTTGTTTTGTGAAAAGATAAATTGTTGCTCTTAACGAAGTACATATTACCCGTTTCAGATATGATTGCTTTCGTCAGTAAAATTGAAGTCTTTGTCTAGAAATATTATAAACTAGAGATGTTCTTGAATCAAAAGTGTGGAAAGTCGTACAAAAGTTCCTTAGTGCTCACGAGATTCTGCAATTCCCTTTTCGTTTGGGATTTATTTTTACTTTTATGAATACTACGTATTTTTTTGTAATTCACGGTTAAAGTTATTTTGCGATGGAAGTTGAAGGTAATGAAAATCTCGTGATTAATAAGATACTTTTGCACGAGTTCCTGTATTTTCAGTGTAAAGAAATTTTTGGGGAATACTGTACAATTATTATTAGACAAAGGTTTTGACATTACTATTTCAAGTTAGTCAAGGTATTAACTAATAATCATTACCTAAAACATGTAACAATTCGTTAAGGATGCCATTTCATCTATTCGAGTACAGATTACACTGCACTTTTAATTTGATTTTTCTAACTAGAATGTTTTTGTCATTTAGTTTTTCAAACTTTTGATCAACTCGGTCAGTGTATTACTTCAGATACCAAAAATCACAGAACCATGAATTTTTTAGGCACAGTATTCAAATTTTAAATTACCAACAAGTGAAGTAAATGAATTTTATTATTGGAACGCGTGTTGGACGCGGTCAAAAGACATATTCTTCACAAAGTTACGTAATCTACATCTTATCCGCAGGGAGCAGATGTCTCTCGACAAAACGACGGTATAAGAAATATTTAACATACAGGACTGAAAGGGCCGCATTCCTAATTTTCAGTCTGGCCGACATCCAATCCGAGTCGTTTCGGGATCCACAATGCCGCTCTATTTCCTTGACGCGTATACAATCGCGTCATAGTAATCCTGTTAGGAGACGCTTCGCTGGCCAGAATACACCCCGCTGCGAGCAGAAAAAGGGGGGTGAGGGGGGTGCCATCTCACAGTCGGGACCGACCAATCTCAACCCACGTTGAAGCCAACTCGATTTATCGCAAAATAGACTCTCCCTTCGCTTCCTACGTAACTATCATCGAGTGGACCCGATGTAAAACGAAATGAACGTGAATTCTCCTCTCGAATGGAAAATTTCGAGGAGTCGGACTATCGCAAAAACGAACATTCGACGTCCATCTTGTCGCCTATGCAGAGGCCACAGTAGTCTATCCGTTTGCAGTCGATTCGTCGCATTCGAACACATAATTCGCGTTTTGTCAACGGGGTAAAGAACGAGTTTGGCAGACGTCCCGCGACAAAAGGCGTTTACCGTGTGTCCGTTCCGTGGACGGCGAATAATCCTTTCGTAGTAAATTACACTTTAAAGGAGGCTTTCGCGAAGATCGGCCACGAGTCGCATTAAATCCCTTATACCCCGGTATTGTGGAATCTGCTTGTAAACAAGATTTAGGGATTTGTCCCGTGGCACGAAAATATGATAAGCCCCTTTTGGTCCTCCGATTCCCCCCCCCCCCCGCTCTGTGCCTCAACCCCTCCACCAATCTCATGCCGACGAATCGTCCTTACCGAGCTGCGTCGTGTTTATGAAACTTAAAACCGTGAAAAAGCTCGCAAAGAGGATTTCGAATTTAACCAGGACCCGAGAAGAGTATAGGAGGGGTTGGGAGGAGGAGAGCAGATTGCTGTGGTAAACTCTGGACAGGTCGAGAGAGATAGATAGAGAGAAAGAAAGACCACGGTGGTATAATGTCGCGGAACATAATATTTTTAATCCACTTTTTTCATCGAATATCAAGCACATTCGGGCCCGATTCAAGGAAACTTAATATTCGATCGAGGCTCTCGTGTTCCGCCGATTCCCGTATTATTTCCCGGCAAGAACGGATTACCCGTGAATGCCTATATTATTTTTTAATCCCCCGCCGTCGTAACCGGATAGCTCTCCGATGATCGAGGTTTATCGATCTTAAATTACCGATACACCGTTCGGGAACTGGGTCGCGGCGGTACAGCTACTCCCACAGGACACTGGGATCATCTTCGCGCCACCGAAACCGGTCCAGGGGGGCGGATTACCTTTGACGACACAGAGCCTCGATTAATTTCGGGGAATGAATTTTATTACGACAAAAAAATATATA